GAGGCACTTTATTCTCCACGTTCAGGAAGAATGTTGTTGAGCATTAAAGATATTTAAGACAATAATTACCACACTGAAACCTATGTAGAAAATGGAGTTGAATTTCTATGCATAATTTCCTACGAATATGGCCAGAAGCGTATTCTAAAGAAGATGAAGAAGATGAAGTGTATCCCTAGTGGTCTGTATATTATGACCATACGCCCTTTAGAAAGCCACTAAGTGACTGACCCTACTTCTGGGACCATGCACGAAATTACATTTTGGCATAATCGTTTAGGACACCTTAGACGAACAACGATGCGCCGTATCCTCAAATCATCACACGGGCATCCACTGACCTGAAGTTTAGTTCAATTCAAGAAATCACATGTCAAACTTGCTCCATAGGAAAGCTTTTTATTAAGCCTTCTCATGACAAGATTCGTACGAATCCTCCTATTTTTCTACAAAGAATTCATGAGGACATTTGTGGACCAATCCTCCCTGCAGACCATTTAGATATTTTATGATTTTGGTTGACGCTTCCACACGTTGGTCACATGTGTGCTTATTATCCATAAGGAGCGCTGCATTCTCCAAATTGTTGGCTCAGGTTATCAAACTCAAGACTCACCACCAATTGGATAATGATAGAGAATTCACATCTACAACTTTTGATGACTATCTTATACCCAAAACGGCTTGGTAGAGGTATTCATTAAGCGCTTACACATGATTGCTCGATCATTGGTCATACGTACCAAGCTCCCGATCGCTGCTTGGGGCCATATAATATTGCACGCAACCATGTTGGTCCGTCTGAAGTGTGTTGCGACCCCAACTATATAGCGCCCTTCAGTTGTTTACCGTATACAAACCCGACATATCATATCTACACGTTTTTGGTTATGCGATGTATGTGCCGATTTTGCTGCCCTTACGTACAAAAATGAGGCCTCAATGAAGGATGAGAATCTATGCCGGATATGATTCTCCTTCAATTATTCGTTACTTAGAACCTTTGACAAGCGATCTGTTTACTACTCGTTTCGTGGATTGTCACTTCTATGAGACAATCTTCCGGCCGTTAGGGGGAGATAAGAACATCAACGTTCCTGAAGAACGACGCAAATTATTGTGGACGACTCTCACTTTATCTCATTTAGATCCCCGCACCGCTCAGTCTGATACTGAAGTGTAGCGCATATTAGATCTTCATAGCATAGCTTAGAGCATGCCAGATGCTTTCACCGATCTAGCACGAGTGACAAGATCACATATTCCAACTACGAATGTGCTTGCAAAGATGAATGTACCAAATGTACGACGGACTTCCCTCTTGGAAGCCCGGGACTCCACTTTGGCCAATCTACGTACATTAGCGGCTAGCCAATCATCTACCTATACACAAAAGTGTGGCAAACCACTTGGTTCAAAGGATTTACACCCTCGGAAGAGGAAACCCACGACACAGGCACCTGAAGAGCTTACTGTGAATTCGACTGTCGCCTACTCATTCTATCCAACTCATGAGGAAATTCTAGATTACGGAAACGTCCTTGAAGAGACGAATCCAGCTCCCGAGAATCGTGAAAATTTCGGTCCATTATGCTAACTTAGATGATGTTTGGTGTATAAATAAGATGATCGTCGATGATGCATTAGCATATGCAGTAGCTACTGAGATCATGTTAAGCGATCACATTGAACCTTGTTTCGTTAATGAATGTCGACATATAACTGATTAGTCAAATTGGAAACAAGCAATCAAATTCGAACTCGATTTGCTTATGAAATGTAAGGTGTTTGGACCTGTAGCTCCTACTCCTCTACATGTGAAGCCCGTTGGCTACAAATGGGTTTTCGTTTGGAAGCGTAATGAGAAGAACGAAATTGTGCATTACAAAGCTCATCTTGTTGCGCAAGGCTTCTCACGATTCCCCGAGATTGACTATGATGAAACTTATTCACCCGTTATAGATGTAATTACTTTTCGCTACCTTATTAGTTTGGTAGTTTTCGAAAAACCGAGTATGCAGCTGATGGACGTAGTAAATGCGTATCTTTATGGGGATCTTGATACGAAAATTTATATGAAAGTTCTCAAATGACTTACATTGACCAGATCAAATATTTCCAAACCCTGGAACACGCTCTTAATTTGGTTGATGCGTTCACTATACGGTTTGAAGCAATTCGGAAGAATGTGGTATAACCATCTGAGTGAGTATCTGACTAGTCAAGGATATATGAACAATGAACTATGCCTTTGTGTGTTCATTAAGAAGTCACATCCTGGTTTTGCCATAGTTGCAATATATGTTGACAACATAAATCTTATTGGAACTTATGAAGAGTTCGTGAGAACTACCGTGCACCTGAAGTTGGAATTTGAGATGAAAGATCTAGGAAATACTCGATACTGTCTCGGTCTCGAGATAGAGCACCATTTAGATGGAATCTTTGTACATCAATCGAACTATACCCAGAAAGTGTTGTGCCACTTTAATAAGGCTAAAGCGAAGCCTTTAAGTACTCATATGGTCGGTTGATCACTAGATGCAAAATGAGATCCCTTCCCTCAGAATTAGGATGATGAAGAGATTTTGGAGCCTAAAGTTCCTTATATAAGTGTGATAGGCGCTTTATTGTACTTAGCTCAAAGCACTAGACCCGACATCTCATTTGCTGTTAATCTTTTGGCAAGATACAGTAATGCATCCACACGCAGACACTGGACTGGAATTACAAACATATTCCGCTACCTTAAGGATACTACAGATCTAGGCTTGTTCTATCCTTACAGATCCTCGAGTGATGCCTCACCCCCTTATCTCGAGTCAATTCTTACCTTGTTGGTTATGTTGACGCATGATACTTATTTGATCTGCACAAGGTGCGTTCTCAAATGGATTATGTCTTTACCATTGGAGGATCACAATCTCTTGAAGGTCAACTAAACAGACATTAGTTGCCACTTCATCTAACCATGCTGAAATTCTCGCCTTACACGAAGTAACTCGAGAATGCTTTTGGCTGAGAGCAATTGTGGGCCATATTCGAAGCTTCTGCAATCTTTAACCTGTTGTTGACGTCCCGACGACGATCTATGAAGACAACGTAGTATGCATCGAACAACTCAAGAAAGGTTATATCAAAGGAGATAACACCAAGCATATTGCTTCAAAGTTCTTCTTCTCACATCAACAACAAGAGCATCAGAAGATTGAAGTCACGCAAATCCGCTCACAAGACAATTTGGCCGACCTCTTCACCAAATCACTACCGAAGGTGACGTTTCAGAAGCTTGTTCAAGGAATTGGTATGTGTAAACTTTTTGAGTTGTAACATTGCTAGTTCTCTTTAGAATTGTGTCATACTCAGGGGGAGTATCCTGAAGTATACTTGTTTGATCTTAATGTACTATTTTCCCCTACGATTAGGAGCATTTTTCCCACTGGGTTTTTGCTACCTAACGAGGTTTTGATGAGGCGCCCACCTTAGGTTGATCATATCCCTAATGATGTCCCATAGACGTTTCATTTGACTTTTCATTTCTCACGCATTTTTCCTTAGACTATGGATTTTGTCCCTACTCGGGTTTTTACCATAGCCATAGGGTTTTTTTAAAGACTTACTTCCTTATGCAAGTTCCTACCTTACTTAAGAATAATGTATTCCCAGAATCAGTGTCGACGAGTCGACTTCCTCAACCTCTACATGATGCCGAATCTACTTGAGTATTTACACACTCAAGGGGGAGTGTTATAAACTTCTTATTTAAGTGTGATTGTGTAAATTATAGATTAGATTTGATTCTAGTTATTCTTTCCTATTAGGACTTGTATTCCTTGGAGGAGAGGATTTCTTCTCTCTTTTATTACTATAAATGATACTGCGTAGGGGGAATAACAACATCCTTTACACAACCTTACAAACACATCTCTCTCTATATTCCCTCTATGTGCCGCCGGCCCCCTCTCCCATGTTAGTTAAATATAGGCCACAACATTTAGTATTTTGTATCAATTCTTTTTCATAGATTTATTTGCCTTTTTAAGTATGATATCTAAATTTTCAATTTAAAAAAAAATCATTATTATTATGGAAAGGGAGAATAATTCAAAATTATTATAATAAGTTAGGAGAGAGAAAAGTTTCAAATCCAGCATGGGTGGAATCCATTTGGATATTTGACCACATGCAAAAACTTTAGAAACAAATATATGTTGAAGCCCAACACGTTGAATTTCTAAATACTTCTACAATAAAAGAAAAGAAAAATATGTTGAAGAATGCAATCCAGACTTAACAGAATAAATTATAATTTATATTGAACGTTCTACTCGTAATTGCACTAAAAGCTTTTATGATGAAACCTAACATCTACTGAGTTATGCAAATAGTTATATTAAGACAATATCAATGTCATTATTTGTGAAACAATGACGGCCCACTCTGAAATCTTGATAAAACAGCCGCTTTTTATCATAGTCATTGTGGTTTTGGTAAAAAGATAGATTTGTTTCTTTGTTCTTTTTAAATGGTAAACGATGGCCTGTTAGGTCAGAGTAGTATTAGTGTGACATAGAAAAGTTACCTTCTTTCTGGAATGGTAGTTGAAAGTCTGGAGATTCGATGTTAGGTTAAAATGGTGGACGACTTTTGTTTTTAATTGACCTACAACATCGGCTTATTTATTACGAGGATTTTCATGAAAACGAGAGATGCTTATTATAACCATTATAGTTGCAATACTGAAATGAGTGTAAAACATGGAATTCAGAAAAACAAGTTGTCTCTCGCATGTGGAAAACGTTTAGCAAAAGAAAAATGCTAGAACAACACATATTTCTCCTAGCACTCGGCATGTAAAGTAATCCACAGAGTAACCCTTACTATATATATGATTTATCTAGATTCTAGAGCAAGAAACAGCACACAAAAGCCTCTGACAATTTCTAGTAGTAGCATTATTTGAACTAGGCTTTGATAAGTACTAGTGCTAAAGCAAAGCAATGAGGTACCATCCTGTTCCCGGTGGCCCTCCGCCTCCGCCACCATCAGACTACCCTCCCCCTCGTCCTCCTCCTAGCCCTCCACCACCTGGCTATCAGGGTTACTTTTATCCTCCCGCGCCAACCCCGAACGAGCCGCCGCCTTCTTCACCCGAAGACAATGATGGCCCTGGTTGCTGTTCAGTTCTGAGAGGCTGGTATGCGCATACTCTCTTTCTCCCTACTGACTCACTGGCTTTCAGCTTCTCCCCTTAATAGTTTGATCATATCATGTTTGGCATGAACTGAGTAACTGTGTGTTTACTCTTTGTTCTTTTGTATTTTCTAACTTTTCAGGACTAAATTAATCTTTTTTCTTGATAACGATCAGCTCCAAATTTAGAATTCTAGAATGAAAAGGCTCAACTGTTTTCCCAATTCAAACTAAGATTAGAACAATGTAGCTAACAAGTTTTCATTTTCCCATTGCTTATTGAAGAAAATTGAGGTTCCACCATAAAACCAATTGGCAATATAGGGAGTAGCCCAACCTCTTATAAGCCCATGCAAGATCCCTCCGCCCATCAATGTGGGACGCATTCTCAACGTGTCCCCTCACATGTAGCGAATTTTCAAGCCTAACACGTGGACAACACAACTTAGGTGACGTGGAGCAAGTGTGACATTTGGACTTTACATGCGGGACAACATGCGCTGATACCATGAAAAAAATTGAGGTTCCACCATGAGACCAATTACCAATTGACAATTAGATTCTACTATTTTATTTATATTTATTTTTATATAAGCGATATTATACTTTGGAACTGGATCCTCTCCTGAGCTCAGGATGGGGATCCTTATGAGCAGCCCATCCGGGCTATTCAAACTTGATCCAACAGCTACAATTATTATAACTTTTAGAGGGGCCCCCTGTTTGGAGCCGTTGAATCAAATTTCAACGGTCCGGATGGGCTGCTCAGGAGATGATCCAGCTCCTTATACCTTAACTTAATCTAAATTGTGGGGAAAGGGACTAGAACTTTGGTGCATGGAGGCCGTGCTTTTTCAATGTGACTATGTTCACGTCCGCTAATCTTTTACTTTTAAATGCCTTAATTCTGTATGTAGGTCAGCTAAAATTACTTTTTGACTTCCTTAATTTGTTCTTGTTCCACTGCTTCACTGACCCCTGATATCTTGTTTACATGGTTCAGTTTGGCTGCAATTTGTTGCTGCTGGATACTGGACTTGCTGCCCTTAGGCCATTAGATACATCGATCTCCTCTCTTTAGAACAGCAGTACTGGTGTTCGGTTACTTTTCTATACCCACCTAAGATGGAAAGGACAATGTTCGAACCCGGGGATAATTTTTATTGTTGGGGACTCTTGAGATGCAGCATTTGGTTGTATTATTAATCAAAAGTAAACCTCTATTGCTCTACAAGCATGCACAATAACGAGTGCATGAAGATAATTCAACAAGGGGAAAGCACATGACGCTATTGTCCTCCCCTTGTGCTTGCTTTATTCGATATGTTTCCTCTCTCTTTAATTCTTGCAATTGTTCTAGTCCCCTGGTTCTGCTAATATTGTCAGCAACTGCACCACTTAAATTCTATATGCTATGCTAAATAAAACTATCCAAATCTGGATCTTATCTTAAAACACCTCCGTTCAACTTACTTAATATATTTTTTATGACGACAGTCGCTTCTGTTGCCTAGGAGAATCATAAACAATTCCTTCCTAACCTAACGTTAGTGGAGTAGCCATGGAAACTCGATTGTTAAAAGTTAAATAATGGAAACATTATCACGGTAAGTATATATAGACTATATAAATAGTATATAGGTCTTAAACAAAATTATATATTCATGGCCATTTGCAGTAATAATCTAAGAAGTTGGGTCACCACTGCTATTGACATTTTATTTTGGGGTGGAACCTCAAATCCATCAAGCACGAACCTGCTCTCCTCTCTTCATATGTTTCGAGTTTGGGGTTTGGGTGTGTATATTAACTAGTCCTAGTAAACCTAGGATTAAGTAAATACTTATTGATCAACTCCACTGTGGAGGTTTTTTTTTTTTTTTTTTTGGTTGAAAAACGGGGCTAAAAGCAAGCCCAAACAAACCTACTCAATAATAAATCTAAAACGGGACATCCCAAGTTTATCATCACGAATAAAACTAACTGAACAAGGAGGAGTATCAAAATAAAAATGACCTAGGTCGCTAAATTGTCTGCCACAAAATTCTTTTCTTTGTAAACATGCCAAAGTTCACATTACCAAGATCTTGAAAGCAAATCTCGACATGCAAACACAAGGGGACCTCAAGGATGATTATTGCTAGTAGCTTGCAACACCAAATGAACTGTGACTGCAGAGTCTGATTCCACCAATAATTTATCAATTTGTAATCTCCATGCCAATTGTAAGCCCAAGTAAGACCTCATAGCTCAGCATTGAGAATCTCATCTGTGCCCAAATTGGCACAAAACCTAGAAATCCATTAATCATCAGAATCTCTCAAAACACCACCTGCTCCAATATAATTATTACTTCCCTTCTTGCACATTAAGCTTAAACCAACCTGAAGGATGAACTTCCCAATTCAGCAAAGATTCAATCCTATGAGGTTTATCAATCTTGTGAGTATTTGCCTTCAACCATTCACGAAGATAAGTACAAATAGCAATTGTAGGCTCATCAGTCATGGAAAAATCTTGCTCAAATATAAATTTATTTTGCCAAATACCAAATAAACCAACAAGCAATGGAGAAAACTAACCTCCACTCTAAACCCCCTAATATGAGTGGTGAGATTAAAATGAAGAAAATCATGAAAATCAATGTAATCTGACTGTGGTTTATACATTCCTAACATTTGCCAAACTTCTCTTGCCTTGGGACAATCTTCAAAAACATGAGCCACTGATTCAACACCACATGTCATGCCCCGATCCCAACCTACGTCCAGGATCAACACGTGACGTCACCAAATACCCGTATCTCTAACTTACCCCGCCTCCGGGATATGGCAAAGTACAACTAGAGAATCGAATCACACAGTAATTTTTTTTCGTACACTTTATGGCTGCATCTAACCTCCTCGTTAGACTACCTACGTACCCTAAACAAGGATTAAGCCATTCGTAGTTCGTCATTCACTACACTCAAACAATCATCACATAAATCACTATGTATCAACATAATATCACACAACAGGCATGCAATATCACGAGGAACATTCGATGAAGCGCAACATAAATCTCTAGACATATTGGTCCACAAGTCTAATCATAATAACAATAACCACAACTAACATCATTCCACAATCACATCAATTAATAACACATACCATACACCGAAATGCAGGGCTAGAGCGACACAGTTCTGCTGAAACCTACATCTCTAATGCTGAAATCAAATCCAAGGAACAACAAGTTAAATGATGCGATTTCGGACCACTTAACGAAATTCATCAACATCGGGTTCCGGACCACTCAATGGAACCAAGACACCAAAGGGGATTCCGGACCACTCAACGGAATCACAAAGTAGAAAGGATTCCGAACCTCTCAACGGAATCTGAGTGGATTCGATTCCAGACCACTCAACAGAATCGTGAGTACAATGCATATCAAACCACTCAATGAAATACAAGCTAGATACCATTCCGGACCACTCAATGGAATCGTGGATCACGAGGAATTTTGGACCACTCACGGAACCGAGCGAAAGTCCAAGGAATATAGCAATGGCTCGAAGAAACAATACAAGAACCAAATACTCAATTTCGAAGGGCTGAACAAAAAAAAAAAGTGAAATAAGGAAACAAGATGTGAAACAAGTGCCGAAGCAACAAACCCCATGACAATGGGTTAACGGTCCACTTCTAGCCCTCACATTTCATCACATCAATCATACAACACAAACCACATTTCTAATATGTACATCAATCACATTTCATAAATATTTCCAATTGACAATCAAATCATATAAATCGATGGCTAAAAATACAAATAATAATTCAACGGAAATCACATTTAATAACCAAGTATAACACAATATTGCACCACTAGTGCGTAAATCGAGACACTCATCAAATGAGGCGACACATCATCATGCTTAGCCCAATAAGCTCCATGGAATCTCAACAACACTCTAAAATCAGCGACACGCTAGAAGAACTCCAACTAGTTGACTAAAAATCAACCATCAATCAAGATCGAGAGTAGGGTCCACAATCCTAGAAATCTAAACTAGAAGATCCGCCAATCAGATTTCTGATCCGTAATTCCTAAAGTTCACATTATGCTTCTAGAACAATGTACTAAAATTTCATTACGATCCAACGGTCAAATCTTAGCCAATCACTCAAGTTACGTGACGGTTGACGTTTAGATTTACAAATTTAGAAATCCAATTCGGGAAGATCTGTATGTTGGATTCCCGATCTGTAAGTTCCTATTGTCCTCAAATATTACGTATTAAAGTTTGGTAACATCCAATAGTCAGATTGTCGATTCATATAATGTTGAAGTGGCGGTCTCTATCAAAACTATAGTCATACGATGAGATTTCATCAATCGAACGTACATATGGAATCAGGGTATCCAAATTAGTCTACGAAGGGCATGTGGGGTTTCGGCGGTTGGCCGTCCCGACTCGCAGGAAAATTTAACTATTTCCAAAAATTACCAAATTTTACAGCCAAGTATATCTCAGTGAGGGAAGCAATTTTCATACCTGGGCCGAAGTCCAATTCGGTGGAGAAACGCCTGAAAACACCCACAAACCGTCGGAACCCTAGAAATAGGTATGCTTCGATTCTCCTTCCTCGGTGTTCTGCTGCCCCTAAAACTGATTGGGTTTTGTTCAGGGCTCAAAGGGAGTCTAATGGTGGACAAGATCGACGAGATTACATTCAAAAATGACGGATCGCCGCCGATGAAGCGTTCGGTGTCCTGTCGCAAAACGCCACAATTTGGCCCAATTTCTGTCCAATCTTGAATGAACAATGGAGGAGAAAAAGTGTCGTGGTGACTGCACGTGATGGTTGGGTGCAATTTGCCTGAAAAATGGCTATGAACCATCGGAATCTAATCGGGTCGAAAGGGTTGGGTGTGTGGGTGTAATAGTTGAGGGGGTGGAAAATCAGTTTCTTAAACAGTTTTTGCCTATGCTTTCGTAGAGTCGAGCTCTATCAAATTATACTTAGTGTGACCCCAAGTCCACGATTTTTTTTTATTAATGATTACTGACCAAAATTCAAACTTCGTAATTAGTTTAATTAAAATCTAAATTTAATATAAATTCCCAAAAATAATATAAAATCTCCATAATGCAAATACGTAGTTTGCAATAGTGAAATCCAGGATAGGATTTCACACCACAAGTACATCTCTGACACTTAGGGTTATCAATCATACCTATTTTCAGCCTTTGTTCATTAGTGAGAAGCTTATTAGGAGAGAGCAGCCATAAGAAACTCTAAACTTTTGGAGGAATATGAAGTTTCCAAATGAATTCCCATCGCCAATTAGGAAGACCACTTGAATTAATGACCAACATATAAGCAGATTTAACAGAAAAATTACCATCACTTGTTCCACTCCAAATACACTTATCAGCCACAGCATCAAAACCAACTAGAATGCTAAGAATTTGTTCGACAATCTTCTTTGGTAAAATAAATAATAATTTATCAATATCCCAATCATTATTGTAACAATAATCCGCTATAGTAGCATTTAGCATATCATTGGAAAGCGGGCAAGAAGCATGATGAAGCAAAATATCACATTTAGCCCATTTGTCTATCCAAAACTTTACCGTATTGCCATTTCCGTTTCGCCATAGTAGCCCCTCATGCAAAAGTTTTGTCCCTTCAAGAATACCTTTCCAAGTACAAGAAAAGTGTAAAGCAATTTTATCATTGAGTAACTGACCCATATCACCTTTAATATACTTTCCTTGTAAAACTTTTGCCCAAAGGCCATTGCCCCCCTGCATCAATCTCCAAGAGTTATTAGCAAGAAGAGCCGAATTCATAACTCTCATGTTTTACAAACCAAGCCCCCCAAGAGACTTTGGAAGGCAAACTTGGCTCCATTTAACCAAGTTAACCTTATTTTTGGATTCAGTGGAGCCCCAAACGAAGTTCTTATTTAACCTGTCAAGTTGATCACAAATGGTAACTAGTAGTTTCACTGTCTGCATAACATAAACTGGGATGGCGGAGGTGACAGACTGGACAAGAGT